GTCAGGGCAGAGCACAACCAAATCTGGGAGAAAAGCAAGGACGCTGTAAGCGGTGAGGGCGGGGCTCCCCGGGCCCCTACCTTGTCACCGGAGCAGCCGTCCCCGACATCTGCGCCCTGCCCCGTTCTGCTCCGTGCTTTCCGGTCGGCCAGCCCCTTGGCATCTGCAGGTCACCGGTCTGCCCCGGTCACAGCACCAGGCCTTTCTGGCTGATGGCGCCGGCTCAGCTGTCGAGCTTCTCCAGTCTGCAGGGGCCGCTGGTGCAGACCAGTGCAGAGATGGCACCCAGGACCAGTGGCAGGTGGAGATACATGTCTGTGAACTCACCTTTCCTGCAAACACAAGAGCCAAGAACAGCCCCCATGAGAAAATGCAAGTGAGAGTTACTTTCGAGGTGACAGTGAGTGGTTGGCAGAGTCGTCCAATGACTGATGATTAAAAAGAAGAAAGCAAACACCTTGTTACCCGCCAGTCTCAGGAGGGAAGGAGAACCTGGTGACTGACACCCACCCCGGGGCTTCCTCCGAGCAGCGTGGCCTTCCCTGGTCAGGGCCCCCCTCACCCCTCCCCGGCCCCTCCGGGATCCCCTGGAGAGGGCACTCCACCCCACGCCCCCTTCCTCCCCACTGAGGCCGGCCTTCAGTGGACTCTTGGCCCGTGCCTGGACCTCAGCTGGGCTGTGCTGCCAGCCCCTCCGTCATCTCACGAAGAAGCAGGGTTACTCAACCGCCTTCCCAGACTAGGAGGCTCAGATGGTAAGCAACGCCTCTGTGGTCACATGACTTCAAACATGTGGCAGAACCAGCCAAAACCCGACGGCTGCCTGACATCAAAACCGGATCCCAGACAACCTCCCCCCCGCCCCGAGCTCAGACACTGAGGCGTCCTTGTCCCAGGCCGAGTCTGCTGCCTGGCAGCTGGCATCAGCGGCTGCAGCCTCCAGGTGTAGCCTGCGTGCCCTTGAACACAGAGGAGGTCTGGACACCTGTCTACATGTGCGTGTGCTCAGCCGTGTCCGACTCTGTGACCCCGTGGCCTGCAGCCCGCCAGGCTCCTCTGTCCATGGGATTCTCCAGGCAAGAACACTGGAGTGGGTCGCCATGCGCTCCTCCAGGGGATCTCCCCACCCAGGCATCTAACCCACGTCTCTTACATCTCCTGCATTGGCAGACAGATTCCTTTACCCAAAAAACCCAAATAACCTCGATGCCCCAATAGTTCTCAGTCATTAATTAAGACTTCTGGATTCTGTGGGAGAAGGCAAGGGTGGGACGATTTGAGGGAATAGCATTGAAATGTTTATTACCATATGTGAAATAGATGACCAGGGCAAGTTCGAGGCATGAAGCAAGGCACTCCAAGCCAGTGCTCTGGGACGACCCAGAGGGGTGGGGTGGGGAGGAAGGTGGGAGGGGTTTCAGGATGAGGGCACATGTTTCAGGATGAGGGGACATGTTTCAGGATGAGGGGACATGTGTACACCCGTGGCTGATTCATGTCAATGTATGGAAAACTCACCACAATATTGTAAAGTAATTATCCTCCAATTTAAAAAGATTAATTAATTTAAAAAGAGAAAATAAAAAAGAAATGTAAGTGTAATATATGTCAATCATACCTCAATAAATACACATACAACTCTTAAAATTCAGAAAACAATAATGACTGCATGCTTTTACAAACACATTCATAAAAATTATGAACTTAATTTCCCATTTTGAGCGCTGGATAAAAAACACAGAGAATTCTAACGTTTTTTGCAGTCAAACATACTCTTCCTTCCAGACTCGATAAAGATCCGTTCAGTTCAGTTCAGTCGCTCAGTCGTGTCCAACTCTTTGCAGCCCCATGAATCGCAGCACGCCAGGCCTCCCTGTCCATCACCAACTCCTGGAGCTTGCTCAAACTCACGTCCATCGAGTCGGTGATGCCATCCAGCCATCTCATCCTCTGTCGTCCCCTTCTCCTCCTGCCCCCGACCCCTCCCAGCATCAGGGTCTTTTCCAACGAGTCAGCTCTCCGCGTGAGGTGGCCAAAGATCGCCCTCAGACAAACCTTAGTCCAAGTGCTGCCTGAGCCACAGAAGACCCCTCCGGCTCCACTGGCTCATTGAAGCGCTGCTTTGTTAATCCTGTGGGTTTCCAGCCGCCTCACAAGCCCAGACTACAGGCACTGAAAATGTTTGTTTCCATGCTCTTGTGTGATGGGCATGTTCATTTCAATCCCAGTTCAGTCTCCGAGTGAAGGTGGGAGGCGTTCTGTTTGCCATTTTGGAGTCTTGTTTTAAAGACTTTGAGGAAATTAGAATTCCAACATGACGGAAAGTTAACTTGTGTATCCTCAACAGTACATATCAAGTGAATCTTGGAAAGAGAGAGCGATCACGCTGTAAATGCTTAATTAAGCGCAGCACTCGGAAACTCAGGTCCCCACTGGTGGCGATGCTCCGGTCTCACCGGCATCCTCCTCCTGCTCAGGGAAGGGAGCCGGGGCCTCTGGAAATGCAGTTCTGGTGGCAGCCTTTCTGGAATCCTCTGTCATCTGAACCTGTGACCTGACTTGACTTTGCTGTGCTTTGCTCGTTAGACTGTGTGCAGTTAATGTGTAAAGGAGTGCAGCATTTCATTAAAACCTGTATTAAGCCGTCATCGATCATATGAGTGAAATCAGTCAAGAACCATAAAATGCAAGGGCTGAAGAGAAATCAAAAGACACTTAACTCAGTCACTTCCTTTTACAGGCAGAAGCTGAAGCTAGGAGACAAGGGCTTGTTCAAGGTAGAGCAGCTGGGACTTCACCGGTGATCCGGTGGTTAAGATTCCCCGTGTTCAGTGCAGGGGCTGCAGGTTTGATCTCTGGTCAGCGAACAGAGATCCCACATGCCATGCTATGTGGCCAAAAAATAAACATTTTCTAAAAAGGGGGTGTAGGCACCACATTTTGTTGCTGATGGGGTGCAAGGTGGTGAGGAGGTGTAGGGTTGGATGGACCTGGGGGCAGGTGTGGGTGATAATTCTGCCTCTTCCTCCCTCTGGGGCTATTACTCCCCAGGTCTCACTGTTGTCCTCTGTATAATGGGGATGTTATTTATTTTCAAGACATTAAACCGAAAGTCGTATGTAAAATGCCTGGTTTATGGAGCAGACACTTGGAAACGTTCTCCTCCGCGTGGAAATTGTTATTTCTGAAAAGAGCATCTCGAGCTGGCGGACGTGATGGGAGAGTCTGTCTCACTTCAGTCATGTGTCGTCGGGAGCTACGGGTCAGCCGTATCATCGTCTGGTGCTGGGCCTCCTCGGGCAATGCTGGGCGCTGGTAGAGTCCCCGCGGAAGGCATGGCCTTCCATGACACACCCACTGAGTGTTCCTGGGGGGCTGTTCTCTTAGAGCCCCTGAAGATGTGAGTCCCCGAAGGGACACCCCTTCTGGGCCCACGGCTTCTCCTGCTCAGTGGTGACTTATGAGTTCAGAGCACTCCGACTTTCCCAAATTCAGCTTCCGAACCTTGAACCTCAGTGGCCTCCCTCCTGCTGTGAGCCCAGAGCAGCGGGGAGGATTTGCACACCTCTGATGAGCGGTGAGGCTCTCCTGGTCTTCCTGGGAATTAAGGGCTCCTCCCTCTCCAGACGGTCAAGGAAATGCACAGCTTAAGGTTCCAAAATGCCAAACATTTGTAAAACATTTCCCCTCTTGATACAAGGAAATTTCTGTTCATCTCAGAAAACACCAATCCAAAGAAACATACAAAAGGAAATGAAAATCATTCACAAGTCAACCAACCAGAGCAGATTACCAGCTGTTCTCACATTGGGGATCATAATGTAACAGAAATTCTAACACACTTTCCTATTGAATATACAATGTAAGGCCTGTTTTCTCTATTGTCATTAGATATTTTTCTACAATGTCTTTCCTTAGTGGCTGAAGCTTCAGCATATCCGTGTTTGACAGAAAAAAGACATTTTCACGAAATCAAGAGTGATCAACGGATAAGTTAGGGCACTTCTCTTGAATGAGCTAACTATATTGTGGATCAGTTAACCCAAGCAAACCAGTTTTTGCTACATCATAAAATTTTGGAAGGGGATGACAATGCAAAATTTCTATTCAGTGTCAAATGATACCTGTTACATAACTTAGTGCAATAGGCTAATTCACAGCTCAGTCTAAAAAAAGGCAGCCTCTTAAGCAAACAATAGAACAGAGGCACAGGAAGTACCCCAAATATATATATAATTATGGAAGACAAGAGACATTTCAGGGAAAACAGGAAGACTGTGTAGGAATGATTAGCTTCAGCGCAGAGACAGTGAAGCCCCCGTGGTGTGTGGGGTCTACTTCCTGTGGTCCAGGAACCGGGTGCTTAGCTTGGGGGGGGATGTGGCCAGTGAGAGCAAAGCTGGGGCCAGGAGCTGGCACTCAGTACCCCCATCCTACTGGATGAGTCCCGGCCTCTTGTCCATCTCAAGTATTTCTTTCTATTTTTTTTAAAGAATCTGCCTGCAGTGCACAAGACCCGGGTTCGATCCCTGGTTGGGAAGATCCCCTGGAGAAGGAAATGGCAACCCACTCCAGTATCCTTGCCTGAAAAAGCTCATGGACAGAGGAGCCTGGTGGGCTACAGTCCATGGGGTTGCAAAGAGTTGGGCACGACTGAGCGACTCACACTTACTTACTTAGTTATAGTTGATTTACGGAAAAGGACACAGCAACCCACTCCAGTATTCTTGCCTGTTGAATGTCATGGACAGAGGAGGCTGGTGGGCTACAGTCCATGGGGTCGCAGAGAGTTGGACATGACTGACTGAGCAGACTGCGTATAGTTGGTTTACAACATTGTGTTAATTTCCTTTTTTTTTTTTTGAGTGAGCATTTTATTTTTTAAATTGCTTTTTATTGGAGACAAGGCTGTGTGAATTTCTACTGTACAATAGTGACTCAGTTATACATATATATATGCATTCTTTTTAAATGTTCTTTTCCATCCTGCTTTATCCCAGGATACCGAGTATGTGCTGCGCGGCAGGGCCTCGTCTCTCCATGTTGATGAGCAGCTGGACTGTGCCGGGCTTGGGGGCACAGAGCTGCAGGCTGGCCTCTGCCCTGCGGGACTCAGCAGTGATGGGACAGGCAGGGGACAGACCCCTGGTGATATTGCATTCGGGATGAAGCGTCTTGGGCTCGCAGAGGGTCTCAGGGGTGGGGATGGTCTCCCAGACGGGTTATCTGAACCAACACCCAGAAGCAGCTATACAGCTGGGCAAGCGGAAGGATGGCCAGCACCTGTGTGAGTTCCAGAGGAGCCCCACCCCGAGCGGCATCATCAAGACCACCCTCTGTGCTCTCAGCCCTCCCGTCTGCCTGCACCCTCCCCCAGGGTGTCCACAGTCGCCCCTGGGGACGGGACAGGCTCCCAGAGGTGGAGACTTGGTGTCCCTGACGCCCGAGGCCCTTCTGGGCTGCACACACACCTGTGTGCAAACCTGGTCTCAGCTCCTCTCATTTGCAACAACTGCATGTTCCCTTGGCTTCACTCCTTCCTCTGAGAAAGGCCCCCTGGTCTGGATGGTGGCGAGTGTGCCCCGGCCACCCTGCAGCCTGAACCTGAGCGGCGCGGCCGGCCGGGGACCCCGCCACCCAGACCAGGGGCGCGAGACGCGGCCCGCACTCCCCATGCAGCTAGCCTGCTTCCTGAACATCAGAGGACCAGCGCAGACAGAGCGCCTTCAACACCAACAGCCCGCAGGGTTTGCAGACGTAACAGGACACCAGAGAGATCGAGACAGGCAGACACGCGGCAAAACAGAGCTTCTGCTTTTCACAGTGATGAGACTAACTGAAAAGTCTGAGATTGGAAAGTTTGTATCTTCATACGACAGGGATTTTTCATTGTTGGTGGTGGTGGTAGTGGTCTTCTGTCTTGGAGCCACTGTTTCCACCTGCCCTCTAAAGGCACTCTGCTTGAGGATGCTGCCAGCCAGCCAGCCACCCTCAGGGCCTTTCTCAGCCCTGTTTTCCCTTCAGCCATGGAGAGAGCCACCAAATGCATATTCAGGGCTGCATGGCACTGTCCTCTTTTAAGAAAACCAGAAACTAATACAGCAAACAGAAAGCAACAGACAATGCCTAGGAGGTGAATTAAGACCAAACCAAGGTGCTTCGTTCAGGGGCTGACTCTCGGGCCTTGCTAGCGGCCTGGGACCTGCTCTAGGGACCCCAGCCAGCACCCCTGCGTCTTACTTCTGGCGGAGGCTGGGGACCATTGATCCAGAGGCTCGCTTCTAGGAAACAGGGGGATGTGACATGCCCCCAGAAGTCTCCACACCTGGGCAGGAGTCTGGGGTGGTGGTGCATCCTGAGAACGGCTTGGATTGTGTATGTACATGGCAATCCACGGGCTGATCTCAAAACCAAGGATTCGTGCCCTTGATGTGATAAACACACTATCGCTGAGGTTGAAGGTGCCCAAAAGAAGCTTTCGCTCCCCAAGTTTCCTCTGTCCTTCTCACCTTGCTTCTGAGTAATAGCCTTGCTGTGAAGGGACAGCACTAACCAGACTGGACTTCAGGCCTTCAGTCCTTAGCGTTAGAAGGGATGGAGGCTTCCCGAGACGCCTCGCGGCTGTGATGCCATGTGACCAGGTGAGTTAGAAGTGTTAGATGTTATGGTTCGCATGGCCCACAGGCTTACCCTGCAGCGTAACTGCCCCAAAGGACTTTGGAGATGGTCTCTTAAAGGATAATCCAGGAAGTGAGGGATGATCCCTGGAGGGAGGGCGGTACCGCTGGAGGGTGAGGAAGGGTCTCTGTGCCCCTGGCTGCCGCGGGGACGTCCAGCCAAGCTGGGGATGGGGAGCCGCCTGGCACCTGGGGGGCTGCCGGAGGGGGTCTGAGGGGCCGGCTGGGGAGCCTTCCTGCCCTCCGCCTCCTCTGGGTCTGGCTGGTTCCTGCTGATCCTGCAGGTCTGCCCTGGACAGCCCCCTTGAAGATCCTCTTTTCTGCACAGCACTCACCACGTTACGGGACTCATCGTTTCTGCCCAGTCTCTTGGGAGTAGGGCTGTCTCTCACTGCCTCTGAATCTCTATGCCGGACACCTGAAACGTACATGATGCTGCAAATCGACTCTATACTTCAGTACACATTTTTTATTTTTTTTTAAAAAAAGAAGAAGTAAAAGTGAAAGCTCTGGGAGAGTTTTTTTTTAAAGATTCCTCCATGCCAGTTTGTGGGTTGATAGTTCATTTCTCTTAATCGCCAAATAATATCCCATGGACTGAATAGACCAAGTCTGTTGATCTTTTTAAATAAAGAAAATGACATTTGGGAGGGAGGTGAAAAGAAAATGCTTTCTTCATCCATGAAGTTTTTTCTTTTGTTTCTCTTCCCTATTGCCTTACCAAAGTAATAAAAGGCTTAAATGTAATGAAACTGGAAGTTGGCGAGCCACAGGGTCACTAAAGTGTACGTTTTTACGTTCCTGTTTCATGCTGGGGCCGCCCCAAGGGTACATATAAATACTCCATGACCTCACTTATTAAAAATAGAGGAGGTCTCCACTGCCCTCTCACAGGGCAGCCTGGAACATGGCCTCCAACTGCTGCATTGCCTTCTATAAACACGCTCCAGGGCATGAGTCATCAGAGGTGTTTAATCCACCACGAATCTTCCCAACTCGACTAGAGCTCGCGTCAGGCAGACTCACTTCCTGCTTGGGGGAATCTCCCGCACCGAGGTGTCCGGACTGAGCCTGGAAGGTGCCACACCAGCCAGATGTCAGCTGGGTGACCCCAAGCTTCCGCGCCTGACCCACCAACCCCGAGCCACTGGCCATCTCCCGTTGGGTTTTCGTTTTAAAATACCCAACACTTTGCTGTGTAAAAGCTGTTCGAATGAAATGCTTTCAAGGAGCCCTTTACCAGGTGCTGCTGCTGCTGCTGCTAAGTCGCTTCAGTCGTGTCCGACTCTGTGCGACCCAGCTAGCTCGCAGCGAAACTAAACAGACCTCAAAACATGTGCAAATTCTAGCCTGAGTGTCCACCCCCTGCTCCCTTGCTTCGGAAGGAATCCAGTCTCTCCCGTGTTGGGGAAGGATGTGAATCACATGCGGTGCCTGAGAGAAAGCTCTGGGTGGCTGAGTGCCAGCCCCAGGTGACCAGTGGCCTTGCAACCCTTGAAACCCTTGAGACAGGACAAGGGAAGCCCAGGATGGAGGCCAGGCTGGCGGGTGGGGCTCAAGACCCTCCCGTGGGGACCGCAGGAGAAGGGCAGCTCTCTGCTCCATCTGGTCCACTGGGCCAGCTTGCCTGCCCTGCCCTGCCCTCCTGCCCACCGTCCAGCCAGCCATCGGCACATTCCTGAGCAGGAAGATCCCGGGTGAGTTGATTCTTGACCCAAGACCTAAGCAGGACCCCTGAAACTCTACAACAGCAGCAGCCTCCTTTCAATTGTCTGCAGTCATGAGGTCACAAGGCTGAGCGAAGGACAAAGGAGATAAGACAAGAACCTCCTGAACCCCTCCTGGGGGCTCTGATCTCTTGATTCTTCTACAGCAGGACGTGTAGCCACTCATATTTGGGCAAAGAATGAGTCTGCAGCTCAGAGAAGTCAATTAAGCCACTTAAAGTTGCACAGCGGATAATTAAAAAGAGTAGTAATCTACACCCACACTTGTCAACCTGACATCTTTTCTCTTGGCAAAGCGCCACACTGTCTGGAGACAAAGCCTGTTACTACCGTTGATTTAACTTATCACAAACCTCTTAAAAATTAATAGGCCAAAATGCCAAGTTTTCTTTTTTTTGTTTGGAATGCTTCCTGAAAGAGTAAAACAATGTACCTCATAGCACAGTTGGGCAGCAGAAGAAAACCAAGTCAAGTTTCAACGCAGCACAAGTGTTTCCTAAACACGAAGAATCCTCTAGGGTCAAATCGCGTCTCCAAGGTGCCAGCCAAGGACGATCCTCAGCATCTGTTCTTCTCTCATGGGACCTTGACTTTCAGGGGGTGTGAGGTGGTCCAAGACGCTCCCCAGCTCAAGTCATGGGTTTGCTTTGTTATCGAAACAAAAGTCTCCCAGCAGATCAGCACTGATACTTAATGGTGTTGAGCAGGAGTTAGCTGGGGGCTCAAAGAGTCAGTTAGAATCAAAATGGTCACATTCACTCAATTTCCTGCTCTAACAGGTACAGATGGGCCTTACCAGGCAGATCCTCACCTCTACGCACTCCCAGATGCAAAGCCACGGCTTCTCATTCTGTAGTCAAAAATTGCCACTTTTCACTACAAGGGCATCTTTTCTCTTGAGAGGTGATAGATGTCAGGACCTGGATGTCACTTCCAGGACAAAAGTCTTTTTTTTTTTTAAAATTGAGATGTAATCGACATAAAACCTGTGTGAGTTTAAGGGGTATTGACTTCTTGGTTTCATACGTGTATTTATTGCAACGTGAGTCCCCCTCAGGGTTAGCTAACACCTCCATCCTGTCACATGCTGTCATTTCCTTTTTCGTGGTATGAACAATTAAGACCTTAGTCTCAGCAATTTTGAAGTTTATGGTACAGCATTGGAGACTGTGATCATTAAATCCCCAGGTCTTATTTAGGGACTATTCCCAACTGTGCCTTAAGCAGCAGCTCCCCGCCCCCCGGCCCTGCACAGCACAGGGAACTCTATTCAACAGCCTGTAATAACCTATACGGGAAAGACTCTGAAAAGGACTGTGTATGTGTGTGTATGCACATGTGCGTGAGTAACTGAACCGCTTCGCTGTACATCTGAAACTAACAGAGCATTGCAAATTAGCTATACTTCAATAAAATACATATGTATTTAAATTCTACAAAGAAAAATAATTTCTTACTCTTCCTCCGTTTCCATACAAGCAAAGTAAGTCCTAAGATACTGTGTACTTTGGCATCTACCAACAATGGTCAAAAGTTAAATTTTAATATTTAAAAGTCAAAATTAGCCTCTGGCTTTAGTGTAGTGCCCTTTATTATTTCTGAAGAAACCACTATGTTCTGTGGAATTCCAGGGCGGGGGAATGCTTTGCACACAGTCTGTCCCAAATATTTGCTCATTCGGTTTAGCTGTAACGCCCTCTCTGGAAATTCTCTTACTTATAATACCTTTTCTGGAAAATCACCTATAGGACTTTACACTTGACTTACTTATTAGGTAAGAAAGTAAATAACTCTTGTTTGTTTCTTCCCAGTTTTATTTCCAGGATAAGAAAATACCTATTTCCTTTGTCAGCTCCCTTTCTTGAGAAATCCCATACTGAAAATGTTCATAACATATTTCAAACTTGCCTACTTTCTGATCTAAAAGATGGAGAACTAATTTTTCTCTGGACTTTTATTGCCTTTAGGAGACTCTATCGCGCTATCTGTAGCAGTATCCACTGCTGAGCCGTATGCAGAAAGAACTTGCTAAGTGGCCAGCTTTGGTGCCAGAGCATTTAGCTGTGTTCAGAGAGCCTAGAACGAACTTTTCAGACATCTTCTTTCTCTTTCACAGCTGAAAAAAAAATCTGCAGTTCTTCATCTTGCTGGGTCCCATGGTCCTACTAGCTTCTTTGAAAAGCATAAGGGAACATCACAAGTGCCAGAGTGACTGTGACACGAGATGATAGCATTCACTGTGAGACGATGAAAATAGCTGTCACAGAAAAGGCAGGTGTGAACATTAGTGACCCCCGAATCCAGTGACGGTTCCAAACAAGAAATACGTGTCAATAGCATAAGTAAACACGCCAGCCCACACAGCTTTGTTTTCTTTTAATTAAGGGAGTGGAGGATGACCTTACTCCTCCTACCGGGTTGCCCTCGGAGCTTCTTAATTTACTGCCGTGGGAGCAGAGCTGATGTTACCACGCTGGTCCAGCTCCTCCCTGAAGGGTCTTTGGATAAGGGTCTTTGGAAAGACAACATGCTCAGTGGACAAGCTCCACCATTGCAAAGATTCTTTGTCTGGATGGAGCATCTGGATAAATTCATCACAAACAGAAAGTGAGTTTTCCTAAGTATAGAAACCACAGCAATGTTAGGGCTCCACATTTCAAAACTAGGTAAAGGGCTTTGAAGCTTTCGTCCTCTTCACTGGCTTCTTCGCGCTGATGTCCTGGAATCCTCTTGCTGTTCTCATGAGCAGAAGCCAAACACGTGGGGTCAGTCTCGCTCTGCCATCACCCACCGGCTGGCCCTACGGGCTCACCCCTGCAGGAAAGCTGGGTCTTGCTTCAGTCTGTAGTGTAAGCTTTCCTTTCTAGTTCAGGGAAGATGGACTGACGTTTCGTTCCGAACCCTTTGTCTCACTGCTTTCCTCTTCAGAAAATTCTGCGGCACTTCTTTTGAAACTTCTTTGCCTATTGTCTCAACCTTTCCACTTTGTCTTGACTCTCTTCTTTGGGATCTTAAAACAGTCCCTTCTTCTTGCCTGTTTCTTCTGCTTTAGACCTCACTTCCCACATGATTTTCTGTCTTCCTTCCTGACTACGGTCCCCGCCTCCCTGAGCTGCGCTCACCCTGAGTTACGCCATTCTTTAGCATCTTCTGTCATGTCCTGCATCCCTTCTGGTCGACGCCAAAGCATCATGAGTGCTGTTTCTTGTAGGTGTCCTGAATGGTGTGCCTGTCAGGGGCTCTCTGTAGGAACATCACTCCCCTTCCTTACGCTGCTGTATCTGAGAATAAGATTGTGTAAGACTATCCTGCTGTCCGTTTCTGTTGCCCATCTCCTCCAGAGGCGAGTTTTTCTGTTCTCAGGAGGGAAGGAGTGATAGTTAGTTGCTTAGTTGTGTCCGACTCTGCAACTCGGTGGACTGGAGCCCGCCAGACTCCTCTGTCCACGGGATTCCCCAGGCAAGAATGCTGGAGCGGATGGCCATTTCCTTCTCCAGGGGATCTTCCTGACCCAGGGATCCAACTGAGGTCTGCTGCATTGCAGGCAGATTCTTTACTGTCTGAGGCACGGTTCTAGAGTATCCCCTTCTCTGGTTTTGGCGAATGATCAGGGTGTGGCTGGTCCCCGCTCAGACTTCCTGGCTGTGCTCACCAGGCTTCAGAGACAAAGAAGAATGAAAAAGGGCGTTCAAGATCCTGCAGCCACACAACTGCACCCATGCACTCTCTCTCTCACACACACACACACGGGTAGTTCATCCTTGGATGCACGCACATATGCACAAATCACTTTATGATTTCCTCTTAAATCTGCACAACAAATATCCTTTCATGATACCTGTGAAGACCACGCTCACTTGCTTGATTCTATTAATACAGACCAATTAAGTTAATGCATCCTCTGGCAAGTCTTAATTCCTGGAAGATCATGTTTTACTGAACTTCTTAGATTCACTTTCATCTTTACCAAGTTGGAATGAAAGTGAAATCCATTATGGTTATTACAAGAAGGGCTGTTTTTGCAGAGGAAAGAATATTCTTTCATTTCCCTCACAGAGATGATTCTTTGCTAGGGTAGGGACTTAAGATGCCACCTGCTAGAGACCATGGCAAGTGGTATGGCCTTAAATTTCAAGAAGTCTTGTCTAGTCCTATTATAATGTCTACACACCCAGAGTCTCTGATGTACAGCAGGTCTCAGGCACTGATTGTCTTAAAGTATCAATTTTGAAACTCAACCCGGTCTTCTAGAATAACCGTTGTTATTTAGTCACGAAATCGTGCCCAACTCTTTTGAGACCCCATGGACTGTAGTCCACCAGGTTCCTCTGTCCGTGGGATTTTTTCAGGCAAGAATACTGGAGTGGGTTGCCATTTCCTTGTCCAGGGTATCTTCCTGACCCAGGGATTGAACCTGCTCCTCCTGCATTGTAGGTGAATTCTTTACCACTGAGCCACCAGCCAGCCATCCTTAAATCACCAAAGATTATTCTAATTGCAGGTAGAGTTGAGAGTCACTGATATAAAATATAGACCAGGAGGAGGAGACTAAAAGAAATGAGATGCAAACGTGACTGTCTTAACAGAGATTTGGACCTTGGCCGATAGGTAACAGGGAGACACTGCATGTTCTTAATTAAGGGACTTACAGAACTACCTATTTTTTTAAAGACAACAGGTCACCATGGACTGAGACCAGGGACAAGAATCCAGTTAAGGCCACCGTGGAGGTGACCGCAGAACTGCACTGCGTTTGTGCCCCAAAGGCTGGGAGGAGGGTCACAGGAGAGCCCCCTGAGATGAGCAGGTCTGGGGGCGCCCCGGTTGAGTTCAGCCCCTCAGTCGGGTCCAGCTCTCTGTTACCCGTGGACTGCAGCACACCAGGCTTGCCCCCGTTAAACAGGATTGCCAGGCTTTGCTTACTATGTCGAATGAGGAAAAGAGGAGGAATCAGAGCTGACCTGAGGGTGACTGTCAAGACGACGCTGCCTCCTTCAGAAGCAGAGCGGGGCCTGGGACTGCGCTGGATCCTGTGGGCCGGGGCCCGTGTGCCCGGCGGGGCCGGTGGCTGGAGAGCCTGGAGTTAGAGAGAGAGCTCTCAGCTGGACACAGTGTCTGGGCTCAGGGATGTGTAAGTGACCCCAGGAGCCACGTGGATGCATGAGAAGATGCTGGAAGAACAGGCTGAGTTTCAGAGGAAGGGTCTGGCGAGAGAGCCCAGGGCATCTGGCATGCAGGTGCGGGGGCGAGGAAGCGAGCCCACAGAGGCGTGAGGACCACGGGGCAGGGAGGCGGGAGGGGTGTTGAGGGCCAGCGTGGGCACACCGGGGCAGGGTGGGGATGGCGGGCCGCGCCGCTCAGACGCCGATGGGCACAGAAGAGGACCCGGGGGCTGCACGGAGGTGGGCCTCTTCCCGCATATCCGGGCACAGAGCCTACGCTTCTCACTGGCTCCCCGGGATACCTCTGTTACCAGACGCTGAGCGGCTCGGACCCAGGGATTTGCGCTGGCTGGGAGGAGAGAAAAGGGAGGCTCGGAGGAATGGACCGAGCCATAGAAGAGGTTCACAACCGGAGAAGTGAACTTTCAGCACGGTGAGTTCGCCTGTGTGCACAGAGGGAGCTCGGAGACAGCTGGGGAGGGGCTTCTGAGCGGCGGCAGGAGCCGGGGGGCTTCGGGGCTTCGGGGACCACCCGGATCTCCTCTTGCCCCAGGCTGATGCTGGAACCAGGGCCAAAGCCCGTGGGGAGGGATCCCAGGCCCCATGTGAGAGGTGGGGAGGGGTCTGCCGGGCTAACGACTAGGTCAGGCCCTGTGACTACCTCATGGACCCTGGTAGCTTTTTTCTGCCTCTAGTGCTAAAGAGCCCGCCTGCCAATGCAGGAGACATAAGAGATGCCAGTTCAATCCCTGGGTCGGGAAGATCCCCTGGAGGAGGGCATGGCAACCCACTCCAGGATTCGTGCCTGGAGAATCCCATGGACAGAGGAGCCTGGTGGGCTACAGTCCATGGGGTCGCAAAGAGACACGACTGTCTCAGACACGACTGACATGACTGAGCACACATTCGATAAGCAAAAATCTCTAATAGCCTGAAAAGTGAAAGCGGCTCAGCCGTGTCCGACTCTTTGCGACTCCATGGACTGTGCAGTCCATGGAATTCTCCAGGCCAGAACACTGGAGTGGGGAGCCTTTCCCTTCTCCAGGGGATCTTCCCAACCCAGGGATTGAACCCAGGTCTCCCACATTGCAGGTGGATTCTTTACCAGCTGAGCCACAAGGGAAGCCCAGCCAGCACTGACTTTCAGGAGAACCACTTCCTTCCTTTCCCACGTCACTGGGGGAGGGGGCATGTTACTTGCCACCTGCTGCTGGAACAAGTGACCACACACCTGGTGGTAAATTTGCACTCTTTATCTTGGTGTCTTGCAGGTGAGAAGTCCATGATGGGTCTCACGGGGCTGAAGTCAGGATGTTCGCAGGGCCGTGCTCCTCGGCTCGTGCCCCCGTCCACCCCCAGGACAGCAGCGGCCAGCGGAGCCTTGCTCACAGGGCGTCTCTCGGACTCTGAACCCCTCGCGACCACACAGGCCCACCGGGTCGTCTGGCACTCTCCCGTCTCAGGGTCAGCCGGTCAGCAACTTTATCCTGTCTGCATGTTCTGGAGACCGGAGGAGACACCGGTGGGGCCCCTTACTCTGTCTACCCCAAAAGGATACACTGTCAATATTTCCTAAGAAAAAAAATGAGTCTTTCCTAATGTTCACACATCTGAAAGGCCATGTTAGGGTACAAATTTATGTTAAAAGCCTATGCATTCTTTCAACTGGCTAAAAACCAAGGAACAGACACTTCACCGACAGTAAGAATTCCAAGTGAAATGAAACTAGAACTGAAATAGGGAAATGATGGACAATGTGGGGTAGGGTTATTAAGTATTCAAGTTCACTTACAGCCAAATCAGATAGGCTCCTAACATTTTCAGGAAAAGACAGGTAATAAAAAAGATACACTTGAAGATTACAGGAATGCCATTATGGTTTTTAACTTCTACCAGCTAGGGAATGAATAAAGAGAATTTTAGGAATTTAGTTAATAAGCTTAATCAATAATTAACTTTTATATATACGGGTGTGTGTGTCTGTGCGTGCGCTGAGCAGTTTCAGTCGTGTCCGACTCTTTGCGACCCCAGGGACTGTGGCCCACCAGGCCCCTCCGTCCATGGGATTTCCCAGGCAGGAACGCTGGAGCGGGCTGCCATGCCTTTCTTCAGGGGGTCTTCACAACCCAGGGACTGAGCCCATGTCTCCTGAGTCTCCTGCATGGCAGGCAGATTCTTTACTGGCCCAGATATAGACCACTGGGGAAGTCCACATCCAGGCGTGTGTTTACACAAATAGTCAAACTGCCACGGAAGCGTAGCGATTTATTTAATATGTGACCTTTCAGATCTGTTGTGGGTCCATTCAGTTCCACAAACACATAGTAATTGCTTACTAAGGATAGAGTTTTAGTCATAAGAACTCCTAGCTCTCCGTTTCTTAGGAAAAAATGTGCAGGGCCATGTAAGTGTGAAAAATCCTGAATTAAACAAAGTTGGTCGTTCTCTTGATGGAAGGCTTGCTTAGAGACCTGATGTGCCCATTTTCACGGCGACTCTCACAGAGGGGCTTCTGGGCTCCCTCATCCCAAAGCTTCTGTGAAGACCAACCGCTTGTTGCACAGAGAAAACTCTAAGGCATTAACCAACGAATGTTTTTCACAGGCAAGAATATGCGGAGTGAAAGCGTTAGCCGCTCAGTCGTGTCCAACTCTTTGTGACCCCAGGGACTGTAGCCCACCAGGCCCCTCTGTCCATGGGATTCTCCAGGCAAGAACACTGGAGTGCGTAGCCATTTCCTCCTCCAGGGGAGCTTCCAGACCCAGAGATCGAACCCGGTCTCTTGCATTGCAGGCGAATTCTTTACTGTCTGAGCCACCAGACAACATAGGTGTATATGTACACAGAGGTCAAACTCGCATATATGGAATTCATATATGAATAGAATTTACATATGAATAGAATTTTTATATCTTATACGAAAAGTATTAGGGGCTTCCCTGGTTGCTCAGACAGTAAAGAATCCACCTGCAAAGCAGGAGACCCAGGTTTGATCCCTGGGTTAGTAAGAACTCCTAGAGAAGGGAACGGCTATCCACTTCAGTATTCTCCCCTGGAGAATTCCATGGACAGAGAAGCCTGGCAGACTACAGTCCACGGGGTCGAAAAAAGTCAGACACGACTAAGCAACTAACATTTTTCCCTTTCACTTTTTTCATGAAATGTATATATACATATACACATATTTATTTTATATATATCTAAAGAAATATCTACAGGAAAGTTTACTGAAAGTGAAAAAATGCAAATGCAGACGCTTCCAGGATGTAAGTAACATAAGCACTAATGGTCTAATACTAAAAGGGTAAGTCTGCTCTAGACTGTGAGCTTATTATCATATTATAAAAGTAACAGGTCACAAGGTAGACCAAGGATGTGTTCCCTGAGCAGAAGATTGCATAGCCAGGAACACTGTGTCAATAAATACTCACTGAGAAAATGCATTCATAAATAATAAATTAAGATTAAAATTTAGCTAGGGGAGATCAACATAAACTACTTGCAAGCCAGATTAGCCAGGGTTTTCAGAGGAACCAGCAAGATGATAGATAGATGATAGATAATTATTGTGAGGAACTGGCCAAGTAGTTATGCAGGTCAAGGAGGCCCACCATCTGCTATCTGGAAGCTGCAGACCCCCGGGAGAGCTGGTGGTGTGATTCAGTTCGAGTCCGAAGGCGTGAGCACCAGGGAGCAAGAATCCCAGTCTGAGGGTGGAGGCCAGCATCCACAGCACCGCCTGGAGGGCGGGCAGCACCGGGAGCAGACTCCTCCGCCCTCCGCCTTTTGTTCTCCTGTGGCCTCGGGGGCCCCCACCTGGGGGAGGGCGAGCCGCTCCACCGCGCCGCCGATTCAAATGCTAATCTCATCTAGAAATGCTTTCCGCCGATGCACCCAAGACGAATTCATGATCCAGGCACCCCACGTCCCCGTCAAGTTGACACACAGAAACGAACCGTCGCAAAAGAACCTGCTAGGCTGTCAGTCTGCGGAGAGTCGTCCAAGAAGGTCGGGGCGCGGAGCGCGGAGGAGAGCTTAATCTTTGTGAGCGACCTGGGATGTGGTCCCAGTCTTGAAAGGCTCCAGAGTTCAGATGACTCTGTAGAATTCGAGAGAGGAAAGTGCAAACACCAGCTGGTAGAAGTAAGCGGATCCCACTTCCTTGCAGTATTATCTTCGTATTTACAACTTAGTCCAGGTATGGTACCATCATATATAGCATCACTCAATTTTCACCATCGGTTTGTAAGGGGATATTATTACACCTGCTTTATCTGTGAGGATACGCAGGCACATAGACGTCATTGGTGTCAGAGCCTACAAACAGCGGAGCCAAATGCATCCTCTTAACCACCAAGTCATGCAAACTCTGCACTAGATTTTGGCAAAAAGAAGCACACAGGATTGGATAAGGAGGTGACTTGACAGTTAGGCAGAGGAAATGTGACACGGTTGGCCAAAGAATATGGACCTGTTATGTGTTCTCCAGAACAGACTGCCGTGATTACACCTTGATTAAGGAAGACCACTCTGCAGACGTACGCGAAGTGGCTGCCAGAGGAGAGACACTGGTGGCCCGAGAACCAGCAGGAAACAGTGGAGGCAAGGGCTGGTTAGAGGGGACAGGCGGGACACGAAACCTCTAAGCTGTGGTCAGTTTCGGGGAAAGAAATAGCCGCTGTTGTGGGCAGAAAAAGAAGGGAATGAAAGACACACAGACGTGACCCCTGCGTCAAGGTTTCCAGGCTGGGCGCTGTGCTAATGAGAAGCCCACTGCATCGTGGTGTGTAATAGGACAGTTCACTCCCCTTCTTTACAGAAAGGGAAGAGGACACGAAACACAGTCGGGAGAGCCGTCTCAGCTCTTTCTTGGTTACTTTTCTCTGCCAACTCAGTCCCTCCCATCTCAAGCATCCCAAGCTGCAGCTGATACGTCTGAGCTCAGGATTATAGAGGCAGACTCTGAAACGCTGGCCGTCCAGAGGCCAAGCCCTCCAAGGGGCCGTGGGGGAGGGGACACGCTAACCACATCCTTGGATTTCAGATAGTAGATCTATTTTTAATACACAGAAAGTGAAAATTTTAATCTTCTGAGTTGGAAGGCGACCCACACTCCCCTTTCTCCTTAATCTTGTTTATCCCCAGCTCTGGGCTGCTGCCTGCTGAAAGCTTCCTGCTTCATACTTACTGACAAAATATCACATTGATACAGCCTGACCTTCAGATGACTCATTTCACTTGAAAAACTGGTTCTAAGAAGTGTGCATACTTTACAAGTTACTATGGGCAGTAGCAGACTCTAGGGTATTCCATTCCACATTCATTTATCAAGTGGCTCTGAAGGAGTCACATGGAAGGAGGGGACCAAAACATGCTTTCAACAAGGGTTGTGCATTTCAGGAGCCAGCATTGTGGTGTGACAGAGAAGGACGCAGGACACCACGCGCGGACAGAGACGGAGCAGTGGGAACAAAACAGGACAGGATCTCAGGAAAAGGACAAGCTGCGGGGCCAGGGAGGGGCTGGGAGAGTTAGCCGAGAGGGTGCTCAGAGGGAGCTGGAACAAAAGACCAAATAGGCCCTGGTGAGGATGGGGCGAGTGTCCCACACCGATAGCACAGCCTAAAATCTGAGAGTGAGGGGCTGTGCTAAACATGGCCACACACGCGGTGCATGGGGTGATGAGACAGGATGCGGGGAAGGGCTTGGTAGGGGGCCTCAGATGTCATGGAGACACGATTGACTTTATTTGCAGGTCCTAGGAAGCCACTGGAAGGAGTGACCTGGGTGGTGTGGATTTTACAACCAGTCTGACTTGCAGAGGTGAGATGAGGGGCAACAGGACCAGTTAAGAGGCTGTTGGCGTGAAGCTTGGCAGTCATTTCTGAGAAGGACCCATGAGAGCCTGGCCAGAGAGAGAGAGAGAGGGGGGACTGGAAAAGACAGTGAAGGATGAACAGGAGGACCTAGGACCACAGGAAGAAGAGCACGCCGGAAAATACCCTGGAACACTGCTGCACGCCTCTGCAGAGAAGGGCAAGTTACCTCCAAGTCCAGGTCCCCCACCCAGGGATGTGAGCTGCCTCGGACGAAGGGCAAATCTGTCCCCAGACTGGCTGCCACTTGGCTTGACTGATAGCACGTCCCACGAACAGAGCTTGTCTTTCTTGCTGAGGGCTACGTAAGCGTTCAGAAATGTAAAGTTCTCTTCTTCTCCAGGAAGCCAATGGAATGAATCAAGGAACACAAGTGTTCTTTAATTGTGCCCAAAATTAAATTAGCAGTCACCAACCAACAAAAGAAGAATATGATTATTTTGGTAAGAGCCCATAAACACTTAATGAAACTGAAAATAGGCTGGCCATAAAACACATCTCAAAAAAAAAAAGTCTCAAAACATTAAAACTAAAAATTGTGTTTTGCAGCCATACTGGAAACAAGCTAGAAATTAATTAAAAAATACAGCCAGGAACTGCCAAGTATTGGGAATTAAGTAATACACTTAAAGAAAACTATGAGTTAAAGAAGCTGTCTCAAAGGGAGTTAGAAAATATTTTTCACTAAATCATAATGAAAATGCAGCGCAATAAAACTTGTGAGGCGAGGTGAAAACCAGACTCAGAAGGAAATTCATAGCCTTAAATTTATATATTATGAACGAAGAAAGGCTGACTATTAAGTAATCCCAGTAAGTGATCAAGGAGTTTGAAAACCCAAACGTATTAAACACAAAGGGAATAAAAAAAAATAAGAAGTGAGAGTAAAACCTAAATATACAACTAAGATCATAGATACATTAAAAAGTTGGTTTTCTTGTAGGAGTAGCAAAATTCTTAAGTTCCTGACAAGACTGAGAGAATGAGAGAGAGAGAAGAGAAGACAAATATTATCCAGATTAAGAATATCACTAAAGGAAAATCACTACAGACATTATAGACCTTGAAAAGATTGTAAGGAATATTATATATAACCTTTATACTGTGAAAACTTATATAAAAAGGTTAAATTCCTGAAAGAACACAATTTAACAAAATGAAGACAGAAATAATAGAAAATTTGAGGAGCTCTATATCTTACAAATAATTTGTATAATTACAAATAATTAATAATTTACAAATAAATTTATTAATTAAAGACCTCTATTCCCCATCCCTATACAAACATCCAGGCCACATGGCTTCACTGGTAAAAATTTCCAAACTTCTAAGGAAGAAAAAGACATTGACCTTATACCGACTATTTCAGGTCAGACAGACGCAGGGAGTATTTCTCAACTTTTTGTGAAAACAGCATAGTCATAATAGCAAACTTGATGAGGATGTTACCAGAGAGGAAGAGCATAAGTCACCACTTTCATATAGATGCAAAAACCCTGAACGAAATATTGTCTAGATACTGAGTCAGTCCATACATGAGATGTGTGATCCATCAAAGCAAGCCAAGACTTGTTCTTGGAATACAAAGTTAAGATTCAAGAGTTGATCATTGTAATTCACTATATTGTGAAGTCAGATGATTCTAACAGATACAAATAAATTGTTTGATAAAATTCAGCATACATGTGTGATTTTAAAACTACTAGGAATAAAAAGAATTTTTTTTAGCTTGATAAAGGTGCACTACAACAAAGGTCCGTCTGGTCAAGGCTATGGTTTCTTCAGTGGTCATGTATGGATGTGAGAGTTGGACTGTGAAGAAAGCTGAGTGCCGAAAAAGTGATGCTTTTGAACTGTGGTGTTGGAGAAGACTCTTGAGAGCCCCTTGGACTGCAAGGAGATCCAGCCAGTCCATCCTAAAGGAAATCAGTCCTGGGTGTTCATTGGAAGGACTGATGCTGAAGCTGAAACTCCAGTACTTTGGCCACCTCATGTGAAGAGTTGACTCATTGGAAAAGACCCTGATGCTGGGAGGGACTGGGGGCAGGAGGAGAAGGGGACGACAGAGGATGAGATGACTGGATGGCATCACTGACTCGATGGGCATGAGTTTGAGTAAACTCCGGGAGTTTGTGATGGACAGGGAGGCCTGGCATGCTGCGATTCATGGGGTCGCAAAAAGTCGGACATGACTGAGCAACTGAACTGAACTGAACTGAAGAGCTATGCAAAACACCTTTTTTCATTGTAAACTGTTTAACTGTTTCTCCCCAAGACCAGGGCTTCCCTGGTGGTTCAGCAGTAAAGAATCCGCCATGCAGGAGATACAGGAGACACAGGTTCCATCCCTGGGTGGAAATAATCTCCTGGAAGAGGAAATGGCAATCCGCTCCAGTATTCTTGCCTGGAAAATGCCACGGACAGAGGAGATTGGGCTCTCCTCAGGCTATGCAGTCCACGGGGTCCCAAAAGAATCAGACATGACTTAGAGATCAAGCAACAGCAACGCCCGCTGCCACCACTTCTACTGAATAGGTCTTCTTGAGTTTCTAGCCAATATCTTAAGGAAAGAAAATGTATGACAATTTGAAAAGAAGAAACAGAAGTGTATTTATTCACAGACAACATGATTATACCTATGGAAAACCCAAATGTGTCCACAGACAACTACTAAAATCAATTTACCAAGTTAGCAATTTCACTGGTGAGTTCACAAGCAAAAACCAATTTTATATCTATATATCAGCAATAACCAAATAAGATATAATACAAAATATAGTAACATCAAAAAGACAGAAACTAGGAATTAATCTAATGATAATAATTAAGTTGAAAATGTTATAGAAATAAATCAAAGAATATCTAACTAAGGAAAAGGACGTACTATGTTCATGGAGTGAGAGGCTGGAAGAGTCTGTAATTTGCTCTATAGACTCAACACAACCTCAGTCAAAACACTATCAGCTGTTTCAAAACTGTGAATGGCCAAGATAATATTGAAAAAGTATAACAAAATTGGAAAACTTGCCCTAGAAGATATCAAGGCTTTTATTACAGTTTTTAAAATAGTGTGTTACTGTCACAAGGATAAAAAACTAAAGGAAAACCTGGGAAAAGACCTATTCATATGAACTTATTTAATATAAATTTAAGATGACACGGT